GTACTGTCCAACAATTTAAGGACTATCCAAGAATTTATTGGTTGCTTGTTTAAAATTTCCGTGTGCTATGAGGCATTAACAGATTGTTCATGTAAACTTGAAAGGAGTTTTTCTTTCATCATTGATCGTTCGCGTAAATTTTCGCGTAAAATATACAGTCCTAGCTGTTTGCAAGCACTTCGTATAATATCTGTAAAAAAAGTAGCCGAATATATAAAATCCCCATTGGTTCTTTACTAAAACTGCAAAGTAAACGGATTAGAAAAAAATCTAACTTACTGGCGAATAGGGTATACGATTGGATGTGGAAAATTGAAAAGTATGCAACTGGATCAACTACCTTATTAACATGCTATATATAGAACAGATGGTACAGAACAAACAAGAAAACATTGGGAATATTATGTCATATATCAAGAATAATTAATGAAAAGTAAAAATTCCTATCAGGATGGAATTATCAAAGGAATTACTGAAATATAGAACAATGCAAACGATCTTCATTGCAAGACTCCTACACCAATTTAATATAATGAGAAATGTGATGCTTTCTGTCATAAAGTAAGTAAGTTTCAAGCAAGAAATGAAATTAAGATAATTAGGTCAGATATTTGGTAATGGTGAGGTGAAAAAACAACAAAAACAGTAAACATGACAGATACAAAATAGTAAATATTAACATTGAAGCTAAATCAAGAATCTATAAGACAGCTATAATATCTTCCACGACCCTACTAAAATCCAGAAACTACATGAGAAACATCGGAAACCCAATAGCTCAATATTAAGAACGACACAATATTAAAAACATCAAATAACTGGGTATTAATAAAAAAACGCAGCAAATGAATAGGAAGAAAGAAGGAATTGTGATGCGAATTGCTCGAGACAAAGTTCCCGGAAAAGGTGAATCGACGGTCATAGCAGGAAAATCTATAGATATTAAACAGGCAACTTATCTAAAATTAAAAATGAAGAAGAAATAAAAAAAAAGGAAAAGGTTTTATTTTGTAAGAATTCCAGAAAGACTGTTTTAGTTAACTAATCATATTGTCTTAACGAAGTAGATAATTCTTTGTTTAAAATAACTATTTTTTCAGCACAATGTGTTCATTAATAGAAGCTCTTTGGCATTATCTAGATTTGAAAAACCTTTATTAATCATAATAACTAGCAGGTCCATTGACAACCGTGTCTTAATGATTTCATTAAAAACAAATTTTAGCTATATATTGAACAGGTAAGGCGAAAGTACAAAACCATGTCTCACTTCTTTTAAAGTACGCACTTCTATGATCACATATTATATACTTACAGCACGAATATTTAACAATGATATGATTACACCTAAAAAAGTGAATAACATCACTTCCTTCGTATTTACCGAAGCAATAAAACGTTGTTTTAATCGGACACTTAACGAGTTTTACCTCGATCTTTTATTTAATTAAAAATTATTTATACTCGGCGTACTACAACTATCTAAGAATTTCCGGATAACTAAATGACCGCATAGCCAGTGTGCCCAATTAAAAAGTTAAAACATATCAGCGTACTTGTTATATTCATAAAGCGTAAATTTTTTTTCGAGATATCCCTTATTAAAATTTCCTACTGGCGATATGTTTGCTCATCTCTTAAATTGTAAAAGAATGTTGGTAATTATCTCTGTAATCGCCGTACAGGAGTGGGACAGGCTCAACGGGCATTAAAGAACTCATTCACGATTTTTTGATAGCACTTATAAAGTGTAATAATGTATTCAAGAAAATTCTGCGGGGGCGTAATTTTCTGATAACATAATTTATGATATTTTAAATTTAAATGAATTTGATTTAGGTACAGAAAAATTCGTTTTGTTGTATTAAAAAAGGTTAAAAGCTTACACTTATCAGAGAAAGGCTAAAAAGAGATTACTTTTCTACTTACTTACATTTTTGGATAATACTATAAAAGACCTGGTCATAGTGACTTTTGAAAACATTTGTCCGGAAAGAGTGAGCTATTCTTACAGGAAAGTGCTGTTGGAATTAGAACCTTGCAAATCAAAGGCCGAAGATATTGGCGAAGACAGGCCTAAGTAATGCATGCTAATTAACGCTATAACGAACAGTACATAAATGCAAAAAGAGCCGTTAAATTGTAGAATAAAATTTCAGATAAAGAAATAAGATTAGAAACAGAAAGGATTTACAGTACCATAGATACAACCGAATCCAAACAACTTTTATGGTAGGGACATGTAATACTAATGAAAGACGAACGATGGTCAAAGCAGGCCTTAAACTATATACCAAGGAATAGAATAAGGAGAGGAAGAACAGCATTAGAACGGAGAAAAGGAAGCGGGGGAATAATGAGAAATAAAGCCATAAATGACGAGTAATGGACAGACCGAAAAAGGTGGAGATAGAAATGTGGGATGCAGCAGAGGGTGTAGGACCCCCGTTGATATATATTTTTGTCCTTCCTTGTTTATTACAAAGACTTATTTGATAGTTTTAATTACATGAGCCAAATTTCTCTGTCTAAAATCTTAATTAACAACACTTTGTGGAATATTGTACATTTCAATAAACAATTGTTTGGGAATTTTGGCATAACTTTTTATGGAAATTCTGCATTTATTATACTGAACAACGAATGAAATAATTCCAGACGGCAGTTTATAAATCCGGTAAAAATGTATCATTATAAAACACGGCGTATTCCTTGATAAAATTCACGTTTTCTCATAAAGAAACAATAGATTTTGAGCATCTTTTGTCAGAAGTCAATAAACCGTCATAAATAAATATATGTCGGGGCCATTTCGGTCCTGATAGCCTCATTTTCATTTGGTAATTGCCAGTAATTAATATTATTTATTTATGCAATTAAAAAAGCAAGAATGGTGATAACTTATATGGGAACTGACTCCGGGTTTCATAATTGGGAATGTTAGGTACCTCCCCATCTATAATCCCAACTACCTGCCCTCTGTACGTTAATTTATCAGAATTAATGTATGAATAAAACATACGATTTTAGGTTCGAGTGTAGTTGTTAATGTTTCCTTTTTTTGAAGATTAATCGAGGAAGAGATCTTATTTTTATGAGTAGAAATATTTTTAACTATTCGTTTGGGAAATTAAATAACGGTCCTAACGTTTAATTTTTATTTTTGTAAAAATTTTATCGTTTCTGGACATGAAACGTATGATTTTCCAAGAATCTAACAAATTAACAATTATTGGTGCTGAAGATTATTATATATACAACCTAAGAGCAGTACTAAATATTTTAGCGATCGTTAAAGCCAGTGGCGGCTGGTGAGAACGTGCTACGGGACGCTGCCCTCCCTAGAAAAATGATGTTCAAACAATTAATTGTATTTTGATCAAGTAAAAGGCAGATATCGAGCACAGTTTTATTAATTTAATCTTGCCTAAGTACTTTCGCTTCCTAGAGCATCTTCAGGGGCATTTCGTCAATTGTCGCATATCCAACAAGAATAAAATGTTATAAACATAAAATTAAACATCACACTACACTACACCAGGACAAACATTTTAAAATTTTTAAAGTAGGCGAAGCTATATTATGTATGGAAACCGGAGACACAAATGCTTAGACGTTTCGAGAGAAAAATTCTAAGGAAAATATATGGAGGAGTCCAAGAACAGGGTTTGTGGCGTAGACCTAAGAGGACCAGTGGGAAGATGATCCAGAGGAAGACCAAAACTTAGGTATCAAGATAACATAGAGGATGATCTAAAATCCATCGGAGTTAAAGCATGGAGAAGAGTTTCTAGATACAGGGGCGAATGGAAGATTGTTCTGAAGAAGGCTTTGGCTTATGATGAGCTGTAATGCCACTGATGATGATAGTAATTTTTTTAAAAAATCCCAAAAAGTTTGAAACTACAGTGTAAACATACCCAAAAAGTTGGGATGATGATAGTAATTTTTTAAACGTCCCAAAAAGTTTTAAACTACAGTGTAAACATACCCAAAAAGTTGGGTATGTTTACATTGTGGTTTAAAAATTTTCATGTAATTTGGATAGCGGCAGAACACCACATTGTAAGAAATACACTTTCGCTGATTAACAAGGGAGAATGTCTCTTGTTTTAATGCGTAGTGAATATTTAATTTAAGAAAAACAACAAAAATAAACAAATAATACAATTTTGCCTAGTCTGTATAATAATCATATAATTGCGTATAATCCAACTTGTCATCATTCAACATGTGGTAGTGCTTTGAAATACTCTTACGCACTCTTTATGCCAAATCTGGACATCATCAAACTTTGCCTTCGCAATAGGAATCAAGCCTACAAACAGAATTACTTAGTTCCCAATACTACTACATTAATGTATTACTATTTTATACCTTCATACAGATATTCTGGTAGTTCAAACTCATTGTCTTGCAAGTGTGTGATTTGATATTGGACGGCGGTTTGCGATTACTGCAGACTTAAAAAGACCATTTTATGAATTTCGGTAATAAATAAATCGAGGGTGCGATTTTACAACCTTGGCTTCTCGGAGAGGTCTAGTTTTAAAGGAGTAATTCTTTTGGTGTAAGTTTTGTTTAAGTGGTTTGATCATTTCCTAAATAGCAGCTGATCCATCTCTATTACATTAAAAGGAGATTTCATTCAGGCTTGATGAAAAATTTACATCCATTCATTTGGCTGCTCTACTTTAGCTTTTTGGTTAATTAGGCCCATATTCCTATCTGTTTCAAGATAGTAATGGCCTCTTACAGGAAAACATATTTTTATTTTATCAAATCTTTTTTCGTTGTGCACTAGGTTGTGGACAGTATAATTGTTATTTTGTCACCCGCATGAATCACAGAACATAGAAATACGTTGGACATTTATATCAAGATAATTGTATACGAAATCGTGCATTATTTAGGACACATTCATCACTACCTTTTTTCGTACTGTTTCAGGATAAGTATAAAATGTACTAGCTCCGGTTTATAAAGTGTGGACATTAAAACTATACAAAGAAAATTGCTTCTTCATTGCTACCTTTCCTGCTTCTTTTTGTAGCTTCTCGTTTCCTTATATAAAATGTGTTTACTTTCAATTTATGGAGTTTATTTTCATTTTCCAAGTGCCTTATTTCATCCTCCAGCCTAAGAGCGCCGTCATTATCTTCTGAAATAATGTTACCCTTTTCAACTTCTAAGTTATTTATTTTCACTTGAAACTCATCATATGTACTACAGGTATCTTTTCTGGGATAACCAAATGACAAATTAAATTCGGTTGAGAAAATTGTTCTGTAAGTTTTGTAAGACACTTTTAAATTTGGATATTTTTCAATATACATTTTGTGCATTTTATGAATAGTTAGCTCCTCTGGTAAGGATGTTTTGAAAGATTCTGTTAAGTTGTAATGGCCTTTTTTGCCTTTAAACGAACTAATGTGGTTCGTTACTGCTTCTCTTTGTACTTTTGAGAGTTTCCGAGGTCTTGAAGAATGCTTTCCTCTTTGATCTCTTGGAAACATACCAAATTCTTTTAAACATTTTTAAAGGACCTCCATCTTTTTCTTGGTTATACCACGGATCGCCAAAGCAAACCTGAACTTCTTTTATTGAAGAATCATTTTGAAAACATGGCAATCTACAGTGACAGACAGAGCATGGAACATGGCTTTGTAATCTAAGTTTTTATACTTACATCAGTCACGCGGCCAAATGATTTTCTTTTCTTACTTAATTTTACATTTGCTGAACTACTTACATATATATCACTTATTTCTTCATTACTTGGCATAGTAAAATGATTTTGTATCAGTAACTTAAAGAAACTAGCCTCAAAGATTACACCTCAAAGCGACACACGAAAATAATGAGTAACAATAAAAGCACCTGGACTTATTTCTGCGTGATTTACAACTGACATTCCTCCTTCTTAACCGGTAACATCCTAACATTCATTCTCCTTTCTTCTCCTTTATAGGTATCTTATTATTCGTGTTATCTCATGACACAACCCAATTTTAACCAGTGTTATTTACGTACAATGAGGTACAGAATATAATCTATCTAATGAATTGTTAAAACAAAAAATTAAAATTTATGACATTACTCCTTTTTCCCCTGTACGCTTCATTTGTTTTAAACGTCCGATCCGCGCTATAATAAACAAAAAACGACCAATGCCGGTATTGAATAATCTTCATTTTGGGCTCTGCATGAATACTGGAAAATAAAAAGAAAGAAACAGCATTTTATATAGTATTCATCTTGAAAAAACCGTAATTATAATAAACTTACCTAGAGAGGTTTTGTAGCAGACAAGGAATAAGAAAGACGTGATATTCATATTTAAAATTTTGGTGGATTCACCGGTCGCGCAGTAAATTTGTTGATTCTTTTTCGTAAATTGCGTTAAAAGTAAATTTGTTTGGTAAATAGGAAACTATTTTTAAAACTTCATAGGTGTTAATAGTAATAAAAAATATTCACAGTTAAATAACAGTTTTTTACACGTTTTTTTAAATCTAATTGGTCTGAATTTTTGCACTAAATGTCCAAATTATCTATGAATAGTTTAAAAATTAGAAATATTGTTGCCAAATGGTTGGGCTCTGTACATGATCAAACAATATTTAATGATAGTGGCATACAAAGATTTAAAAGTGGAGACTTTGTTTTGAAATCATATTTAAAACTAGAGATGGAATCGGCATATGGTACAAAAAAATCTAGAACTATGAACATATTTGCCCATCTTACTGCTCAATATAAAAAATTATTCCATGCATGGTTGCTTCTGTGAAGAGGAGCATAAAATGTTTGGTTTAATCGTGTTCTACAGAGAGGTACATACAGACCAACCTCTTCAAGTAGCTGAGGACACAAAACTGTAGAACTAATTATGCCATAAAGCATCTTTAATTAATCATCGATCATTCAATAAGAGAATACCAAGTTGGACTTCAAAATTTGATTATAATTTACTTGATTTAATTTAAAAGGTATACCCTGTTTATAAGCTACATATTTCAAGAACTTGTGTTAGACTGTTTCGATTTTTGATAAGTAAATATTATAAGATGGAGGCTCACTAGAAACAAAATGCCTGATACGCACCATCTGAACTCAATCAAGTATGTTCTCAGCCGTCCAAAAAGTGGAGCATCGACACCTATTTTAAATATTAAAATATTATGGGGGGTTGACACGATCAATGGAGAAATCAGTGTGTAGTGCATGTACCGTTCAGCTCCTCTCCAAGGCCTTCCTCAGGAAGTCCACAAACACTAGTATATTACATTCGGTTGATTTGCTATTCCGAAATCCAAATTGTTAGTCTACTAGCTGTTTTTCAAGTGAAGCTTTAAGATAGTCACACAAAAAACATTAAAATATCTTTCGTATTATACTAATGGGCCTGTAGTTATTCACCAATAAATTATCCCCAGGCTTTAAAAATAGGTGGTAAAAACTATTTTCTAGCTTTCTGGAAATTCACCCATATTTAAGGATATATTAAAAATGTGAAAAGAGGTCGGGATACTGTAAAACAACAATTCTTGAAAAAGCGGGTAGGCAATCCATCAGGACCAGGACCCTTATTCGCATCCAGTTCTGATAATTTTAAATAAATATCACATATAGTTATGTTGATAGTCAAGTTAGTAAGACCAAGTAAAAGTGAGTCACTAAGTATGACACATACTTAGCAGAAAAATATTCTGCAAAAAGATTGACAACATGTGGACCGTGACTGGATTCAACACCACCATACTTCAACACATCGGGCAAGGATGGCTTTCCCCTCGGATTCCCTTATATTGTGTCGATTTACATGTTGAAAGCCAAACTGCGAAACGTAAAAAAAATAAAAAAGAAAAAGTGACAATCGAAGACGCCAAAAATAGTCTCTACAAGGTTTTTAGCATTAATGAAATTTAAAACTGTCCTTTTTAATAATTTGACAGATAAAACGTAAGGTTAATGCATCAATTTAACACAAATTACCATTTCTACAAAAAACCACCCTTTTAAAAGTCATTACACTGCATGTTTCACGCCACCGTTTAACTTAATTCTTTTTGCGTGGTTGCATTTGGTTCATTGCATTTAATAATCCACAGCATTACTTGCAACATTTCGTAATGGTAAGTTTAGATGCAGACAAAATCAAATGTAAACGACTTTCATGGCCTTGAAGGTACAAAAGATCCTCGAAGAATCAATGGACTCGTATATGATTCATTAATTTGAGTAAATCTGGGAAAAACAAGCGATGATTTCTATGAAATGACCATCATTTTTATTGTAATGTACAGTATAGTAATATTGGTAATATCTTAATGATACGTGGATTCAAGTAGGTGGAGTAATGGTGACTTATATTTTATAACACCGTTCTTGACGTAAGCCTCATTGCATTACAGATTGGCTAACATATAAATTCAACTACTGATTGATTTTGAGGTTTTAATATAATTAAAAGTAAGTCGTAGCTTGAATGTAATGAGAGCTCTATGTGGAAATATTTGGATAGTGATACAGTCATTTAGATAATGGATGTCAAATATTATCAGTTTCTCCTAAGGCGCTAATCAAAAGGTTAGATAAACTACAATATAAAAGTATTCGTACCATAACAAGATGTATGAGATCCACCCCTATTCATGCATTGTTAGGTGAAAGTGGTCAAATTGCTCTCAAGTACAGATGGGAATGGCTTAATTCTAAATTTCTCCTAAAAAATCTCATGCTAATTAATAATCCAATAATTTCTGCAATGAATCAACTACAGATATCAATGCAATCAAATCATAATTACTGGAATAAAAAAAGTATTTCCCTCTTAGTTTCCATCATGAATAAATTCCAGCATACCCCAAATTTATTTTCTAGTGACTTATTTCCGTGCCATAATTTTGAATTAGAATATCAATTAACTTTTATTCCTATTAGGAATGTGCAATCTAATAAAGGTGATGAACATGCATTAATTCAATTTCAAAAAATTTTACTTGACAATCCACTTCACACTATAATCTTTACAGATGGGTCAGTTGATAGCAACGGCTCAGCAGGATTTGGTGTTTTTTATCCTGACTTTAAATAGTCATACTCTAGTAAACTCCCTACGCAGACTCAAGTTTGCACTGCAGAGATTATTGCAATTAATAAGGCGGTTCAACTTGTCTGCGAGAAGGATATCAAGAGGTCCTTAATCTTGTCTGATTCTAAGAGTGCAAAGATGTGCAAGAGTGTTTGGATCCAAAAGATAGGCAAAACATCTTATTCAGTGGAAACTGAACATACCTCTATCATAACCAAAAGGGGCATTATAGAAGCCAATCAACAGAACATCAGTATTATTCTGGCATGGATTCCAGGGCATTCGGATATTAATGGCAATTGTGTTGCAGACAAATTGGCAAACATAGGAAGATCACTAAAAATGCCCGCCATAAGAAACTAAAATTCATGTAGCTAGCTGTATACCATTTATCACAAAAAATTTATTTAAAAATTCCTTTATAAAAGGCTTTAAATGTTATTAAATTAAATTTGTTTTTCTCAAATTTGAACTCTTAAATAATGATGAATGATGTAAAAGTAGTCCAGAGATGGAAGCCTCAAGGAAACAGAACAAGAGGAAGGCCCCATAAAATATGGATAGACGACGTAGAGAGGGATCTTAAATCCATGAACATCAGGCAGTGGTAAAGGAAAGTATCCGACAGGGCAGAATGGAAGAACATTGTTAAGCAGGCCAAGACTCACAAAGGGTTGTAGCGCCATTAGACGAAGAAGAAGAAGAAATAATGATCAACTTCGAATTCTCAAATAATATTTCTACAGTTTGGTCAGGTAGGTGTTTCAGAAAAGTAGAAAGTGATATCATAGGGAAAGGGGATGTGCTCTTTAAACAATTTACCATCGCTATTAGATCTCTGATTGTGATAAGTGATTGTGGTAGGTTCTTTTTGTTCTTTGTATGTTAAGAAATCTTTATTACATTTAGAATTGGTGGGTGTTTCCTCTATTTTTTCTACTATCTCTGCATGGTTTGTTATTGACCATTTGTTGCCTATTTATAATGAATCTATTTCCTGATATGAACTGTTATATTCTTTATTTTCCTCCATATGTTTGATAAAGGTCTGTAATTATTATTGATCGTTTCTAAATATTATATCCAGGATTGTCTTTTAGATCTTGTGGTAATGAGTTTGGCTCTAGTCCTACTTCTTTTTATTTAAATTTTCTAGGTTCTTGTGCCGTTTGTACTTTTGAAGAACTTTTTTGCTTTCCTTAATAGCTTCTTTACATTCTTTATTCCGCTAGGTAACTT